GCACCTCTGCTGAATTTGTTTATTAGCTAGAATAGCTTTTTGGTGGAGTCTTTGGAGTTTTCTTTATATTAGTTCATGTCATTTTCAAACAGTGACAGTGTGCTTCCTCTTTTTTGATTTTGATGCTGTTTGTTTATTTCTCTTGCCTAATTGCTCTGAATAGGACTTCCAGTACTGTGCTGAATACAGGTGGTAAAAAGAGGCATCCTTGTCTTTTATCAAATTTTAGAAAATATTCAGCTTTCCCCCATTCAGTATGATGTTAATTATTGTCTTTCTTTATATTATCTTTATTATGTTGAGGTATATTCCTTCTATACCTAACTTGGTGATAGTTTTGTTTTTTTAATCATGAAGTGATGTTGAATTTTATCAGATTACTTTTCTGCATCTACTGAAATGATCATTTGACATTTGTTCTTCATTCTGTTGATGTGGTGTATCATGCTTATTGATTACTGTATGTTGACCCATCCATGCATCACTAGGATGAATCTTATTTGATCATGGTGAATAATCTTTTTAATATGCCACTGGATTCAGTTTTCCAGTATTTTTTGAGGACTTTTGCACCTATATTTACCATGGATATTGGCCTGTAGCATGTGTGTGTGTGTGTGTGTGTGTGTGTGTGTGTGTATGTCCCTCCATGTCCTTGTCTGGTTTTGATTCTGAGGTGGCCTAATTGAATGAGTTTTGAATAATTTTCTTCTGTCATTTTGGAAAAATATATGAAGAACTGGTGTCAATTCTTTAAAAGTTTGGTAGAAATCAGCAGTAAAACCTTCTGGTCCTGAGCTTTTCTTTGATGAGAGGCTTGTAATTACTGGTTTAATGTGGCTAGTCATTATTCCTCTGTTCAGAAATCCTATTTCTTCATGATTCAATCATGATAAAGGACAAATGTCCAGGAATTTCTTCTCTTTTTCTAGATTCACAAATTTGTTATCATGTAATTATTAATACGGATCTCTAAAACTCCTCTGTATTTTGTAGTGTCATTTGTAGTGTATGCCTTTATAATTGTTTTTTGACAGGCAGAGTTAGACAGTGAGAGAGAGAAAGAGAGACAGAGAGAAAGGTCTTCCTTTTCTGTTGGTTCACCCCCAAAATGGCCGTAACGGCTGGCGCGCTGCGGCCGGCTCATTGTGCTGATCCGAAGCCAGGATCCAGGTGCTTCCTCCTGGTCTCCCATGCAGGTGCAGGGGCCCAGGCACTTGGGCCATCCTCCACTGCCTTCCCTGGCCACAGCAGAGAGCTGGACTGGAAGAGGAGCAACCGGGACAGAGTCTGGCACTCCAACCAGGTTAGAACCTGTGGTGCCGGCACTGCAGGTGGAGGATTAGCCAAGTGAGCCGTGGCACCAGCCTGCCTTTATAATTAATATTGAATATTCCCTTTTCTTAGTTTAGCTAAGGATTTATCAATATTTTTATCTTTTCAAAGACCAAACTGTTCATTTCACTGAGTTTTTAAATATTTTTGATACTCTGTATTGTTTATTTGTGTTCTGAGTTTTATTATTTCTTTATTAAATTTGTATTTGATTTGTTCTTTTTCTAGTTCATTGAGGTACAGCAATAAGTTGTTTATTTAAGGTCTTTTTTAAAAGATTTATTTGTTTATTTGAAAGTCAGAGTTACACAGAAAAAGGAGGAGAGGCAGAGAGAGAGAGAGAGAGAGGTCTTCCATCTGCTGGTTCACTCCCCAATTGGCTGCAATCGCTGGAGCTGAACTGATCCAAAGCCAGAAGCCATGAGCTTCTTCTGGGTCTCCCATGTGGGTGCAGGGGCCCGAGGACTGAGGCATCTTCTACTGCTTTCCCAGGCTTCCATAAACTTCCTTCTCAGTGGTGTATTTACTGCTTTACCTGTATCCCATAAGTTTTAGTGTGTTGAGTTTCCATTTTCATTTATTTCAATAAATTTTGATATAATTTTATTTTTAACTTATTACTTGCTTTGTGGGTTATTCAGATATAAGTTTTTAATGTCCATATATTTAACTGTTTTATTTATTATTAATCTGTGTATTTATTTGGTTATATTTTTCTTGCTCTAGTTTTATTTTATTTTATTGTTATTATAATGTTCTTTTTATTCTAGTTTTTCATATTATTCTAGTTTAAAGATACTTTTTAAAAATTTTTTTATGATTTGTTTTGCGACCTACCATATCATCTATCCTGGAGAATGTTATGTATGCTGTTGAGAATACATATTCTATTGCTGTTGGATAGAATATTTTGTAGGTATCTGTTAGGTTCAGTTGATACAGGGTGCTATTTAACTCTTTAAATTCTTTACTTATTTTCTGTTTGGCTCATCTGTCCATTCCTGAACACAGGTTTGTAAATCCCTTAAAATTATTTTATTGGGGTGTGTCCTCCTTTTAGTTCTATTAATATTTGTTTTATGTATTTGTGTGCTTCTCTTTCACTAGCATTTCTTTCTTTAAGCTTGAAAATAAATCCCTTTAACTTTCTTCTAAGCCAAGTTTGGTGGTGACATATTATCTTTGCTTTTCCTTGTCTTGGATTGTCTTTATTTCTCCCTTGTAACTGAAACATGACTTTGCTGATTAATATATTCTTGACTGGCAGTTATTCTTTCGGTACTGTGAGAATCTCATTCTAGTCCCCCCCAGACTGTAAGGTTTCTGCTGAGAAATCTGCTGACAGGTGAATTAGGACCCTTTATCTGTTGTTTCTTTTCTCTTGTAGCTTTTGAGAATCCTCTCTTTATTTTTAAGCTTGAAAAGTTTGATTATATTATGTCCAGCGTAGACTTGTTGTATCAATGGTTGAATTTGATTGACAACCTTTCACCTTACTGATTGTGGAAAGTTGTGGCTTTCTCTAGGTTTGGGAAGCTTTTTGCTACTATCTCTTAGAATATGCTTTCTACCTCTTTGTCATTCTCAGGGCCTTCTTGAAACCTAAGTATAATTGCTTAGATATTTACTATTTTCATGCTGTCCCAAAGTTTATGTATGCTCTCTTCTTTTTCTTGATTCTTTTTTTCCCCAACTGTGTAATTTAAAATAGCCTGTCTTCAAGCTCACTAATTCTTCTATTTGATCTATTCTGATATTGATGGCTTCTATCATGATTTTAATTTCACTTACTATATTTTTCAGTTGAAAGATTTGTTGGAATATTTAAAAATCATCCCTCTGTCAAGTCTCACATGCCCGGCCTATGTGAGGCTACTGGTAATATATATCAATACAGGACCAGCATTGTGGCATAGTAGGTTAAGCCATTGCCTGCTATGCTGGCACCCCATATTGTCACTGGGTCCTGTCCTGGTGGCTCTACTTCTGATATAACTCCCTGCTAATGTGCCTGGGAAAGCAGCAGAAGGTGGCCCAAGTGCTTGGCTCCTGCACCCATGTGAGAGACCTGGAAGAAGCTTCTGGCTCCTGGAGTTGGCCTAGCCCAGCCCTGGTGGTTGAGACCATTTGGGGAGTGAACTAATGGATGAAAGACCTCTCATTTTCTTTCTCCTCCTCTCTCTGTAACTCTTCCTTTAAATGATATGATTAACTTTAAAAACAAAAAAGTTTTCAGTTTCTTGGGGATCAGCCCCTGGTCTGCATCTATGCTCATTCTGTTGGTGATATTATCAGGCTTTATGGTGAAAAAAAATTTACACTGCTACAAATAGAACTGCAGCTCTGGAATTGGTGTACATCCCACCAGGGTGCGTGTGTCTGCCTGATATGGGGCAGTAGGTATAGTCTCTGTCTATAGGCACTGCACTAGGGGTGGAGGCTGTTAGGATCTGATTCACTGTTGGGTTTTATCAGCTCTTCACTGAATCCCAAGACACTTTCCTGTGGTTCCTTGCTATCTGCCCATTTTGGGGGGATGGGTAATGAAGGCAGCTCCTTAGCTACCCAGGCTAGAAATAAGCTATATCACACCTGGGTGTCCTTATCTTCATGCACTATGAAGTCTCAGGAGTGCACACTAGGCCAGCTTGGCCCTGGCAGTGAAACACTGAAACAAGTTAATCTCAACACAGTTTGGGTCTGATGCAGGGACTAGTCTAGAGGTTCCATCTGTAGCATTGGCCTCAGGATAGAGGCTTTTGCAGTCTATCGGGTCCTGCATCCCATGACCAAGGCTTGGCTCTGAGGTCCAAGATAAGTTCCTAAGCTCCCTCTTTTGTGCTACTCCCTTGGAGCTTGTCTTGCTCCACTTTCTGCAGGTAGTTAGGAAGAGGTGGCAGAAGCAAGGTCACATGGCTGTAGAGGGACCCGATGGTCAGTCTAGGTATGAGTCTGGGGACAGGGACCATGGGGCTATGTTCAACCCTGAATTTTATCATGGTTGGCCTGGAATTGGGAGTCAAATCTTAAGACTTCACTCTGTCTCCCTTTTCCACATGGGAGCTGAAGTGTCTCTCCACAATGTCCTAGTTGGAGCTGGAGTTGGGGGACTGATATGGGCAACTCTTTTCTTCACTGCCTTCTTCAATACAAGATTTCTTATTATTTTTCTAAAATGAGGTACTGTGGTCTCTCACTTGGTATCTGTAGCTCTTGCAAAGATGATTTGGTTTATGATTAACTCGTCAAATTAGTGTTTCTTGGGGCAATCATTGCTGTTGGTGTTTTACTCAACCACCATCCTGCTGCATTGGTCCTATGGCCACTGTCTTGCTGATTCCAGTTTACTGAGAATAAATTAATCTCTATTGCCTCTAGTTTCTAAGTTCTTCTGTCACCTTCTATTTGCCCTTACAGCACTCAGCACAACTTCATTTAAATAATTATGTAATTAAATACCTAATGTCCTTCCAAGAATGGAAACTTGATGTCTGAGGCCATGTCTGTGTTGTTCACCTACTACTGAGCTTAGTGTTGTTAGCACACTGACGGTACTGAAAATTTTTGTTGGATGAATAAATAATAAATGGCTATGAGCTAGAAAGCTGTATTATTTTATTTCTATTTCCAATGTGGTTTTTTTTTTTTTTTTACTGTCTTTGCAGTCTCACTTGGTTTTCACGTGCTTTCGGCGTCTCTCACAATGTCTGGTGGAGAACAGGAACAAAGGAACTACTATTTGGGTGTGGACGTTGGAACAGGCAGTGTCCGTGCAGCTCTGGTAGACCAGTGTGGCGTTCTCTTGGCTTTTGCAGACCAGCCAATTATGAAGTGGGAGCCTCAATTCAACCACCATGAGCAGTCCTCCGAGGACATCTGGGCTGCATGCTGCATCGTCACAAAGGTATAGACAAAAGTGTGGTGATTTCTCCTTGTTCAAACTCCCGACCTGCGGAGTGTTTGTTGCATGTCTACATGGTGCCAGGGACTGTGCTGGGCTAACTTTATGTACAGAACAGTGCAAGCCATGAGCCTTGCTTTTCAGGAGCTCACTGGCCAGCAGCAGGAATGGACAGTTAAAATATGATGTGTTGAGTGCTGGGAGTGAAATAACTAAGAAAAGAGCTAACCGGAGGGGGTTCTTGGAAGAGAGCGTAAGGGATGCAGAAACTTAAGGTGTGACCAAATGTGGAAGAAATCACTGATTATCATGGCTGATTGCTGTGCCTTTATTATGTAGTAAGTGCTATGTAAGAAATATTAGCGGGCCGGCACCGCGGCTCACTAGGCTAATCCTCTGACTTGCGGCACTGGCACACCGGGTTCTAGTCCCAGTTGGGGCACCGGATTCTGTCCCGCTTGCCCCTCTTCCAGGCCAGCTCTCTGCTATGGCCCGGGAGTGCAGTGGAGGATGGCCCAAGTGCTTGGGCCCTGCACCCCATGGGAGACCAGGATAAGTACCTGGCTCCTGCCATTGGATCAGCGCGGTGTGCAGGCCGCAGCGCGGCGGCCATTGGAGGGTGAACCAACGGCAAAGGAAGACCTTTCTCTCTGTCTCTCTCACTGTCCACTCTGCCTGGCAAAAAAAATAAAAAAGAAAAAAAATATTAGCATGCATTGTGTAGAGATGAATCTTCATAATGACCCCATTTTATTAAGAAGGGTGGCACAGAAAAGCTAGGTCATTTACCCAAGTTCATGCAGTTGGGAAGTAGCAGAGGCAGGAGTGGAGCTTAAGCAGTGTGACTCCAGAGCGGCATTTCTGTGACTCAGGGACCTCTCCTGCCTGCATTTCAGGCAGAGGCAACAGCAGCCTATGCAAAGCACACAGAGTGAAAACGTGGTGTGTTCTAAGAAAGCAAGGAAGTCAGACAGACCAGAGCTCTTCTGTCTGCACCAGGCAGATGTTCATCTTGAGTGGCCTGGGAATGGATATGGCCCACTGGCTTGTGCAAGAAAGTGATGCTGGACACACTTGTTCATATTTGGAGTTTGAGCTGACTGTTGACTTTATATCCTGGTGATCGGGAAGGGCAGAGATCTCTTTGTCCTTTTTTTTTTCCCCCCAGAGGGAAAAAGAAAATCCTAGATTCCTCATTTTCCCTGTTCCTAGTTTAGTTCTTTAAATATTTATGAGGTGCTTGGTAATTTGCAGATGGACAATTCACCATGCTGTCTTTATTGATCAGTCTGTTTAAACTTTAATGAGTTCTGAGCTGCTGTTAGTGCCCCTGGAGAAGAAGGTCGAGAAAGGAGTTGGGGGTGGGCAGCACCAGTGCATTATGCAGAAATAAAAGGAATCAAAGAGGCGCATGTCGTCTCTTCTGCCTGTTTAATTTTCCTCTTCTCTCTCTGCTTTTCAGCCCCCACCTTGGTGAGAATCTTCTACTCTTTGCCCTTGGGTCTCCTTTGTTCTTCTAACATATAGCCTTTCTTGCCATTAAGGAAATTGTCAAGAAGAAAATATAATCCCCTGATGAAAAGCTACTTTAAAGGAGGTCTACTCTAAGTACAGCTTGGTTTAATGGTAGATTTTTAATCATCTCCCAGTGGCGGCCAACGTATCATCTGTTTGAGCTCTGTTAGCCGCATAAGTGCTGTGGGCATTCGTCCTTAACGATGCTATTTCACTACAGCAAGCCTGAATAAAGCTCCTGGGTCTGAGGCCATTGCCCTCACGTGGATATGGATACGTGGCCGTGTGCCGGAAGCTGTAGGGTAGGCATGGCCCATCTACTGGGAACATCATTGCTGGTTTGAGGCTTAAAGAAGAAAGCCTTTAAAATATGGGTGTGAGAAAGGTAGCCATCCATATAGAGCTTACATACAGAGCACTCCATATAGAACCAAACTGCTAGGAGTGATATCCCAATTCTGACATCTTGGAAGCTTCTAATCTTCCCTAAGTTACTTCCTGTTTCTTGCCTCAGTTTCCTCATCTATAAAATGGGAAAGATGAGAGAACCTCCCTCTGTAGGGTTGTTGTGAAGATTAAATGAGTTAACTGTATAAAGTGAACTTCTATTAAGAAGCAGGAGAATATAAGCTGGAGGAATTGTTTAGCCAGCAGGCGTTTGTTGAGTGGCATTCTTGGATTTCATCTGCAAGCATTCAGTGAGCAGCTGCTATGTGCTTTGTGCTCCTTGCTGAGCACTGGCGTGTATCTAGGAGAGGTACACAGCGAGTTCTGTTAGACGCCAAGCAGCTCAGCTGTGTGGTAGAGAAACCAACACAGATGAAGGCCATGAAGTACCATTTCATTCTAGCTTGGTACGAACTGTAAGAGGGGTCTTTAAAAAGTTCACGGGAAACCGGGAAACATGCATTCTCTTGTAATCTCTGGCTTTCCTGATCCCCCTGACAAATCACTTTCTACTATATGATACCCATACTCTGTAATTTATGTGATTTATTGACTAATGTCTATCCTTACCAAAATATAATCTCTAAAAGAGCAAGGATATATCTATCTATATCTATATGCATACTTTTCTATCTATAGCTATACATATGCTTACTTATCAATCTATTTATATATGTAAGTATTTTGGTCTTCATTATTTCCCAGAGGCTTGGAAGAGTCTACCCTAGAAGGGGCTTGATTATACTTGCTAGGAACCAACTGAGTGAGTGAGTGAGTTGTGTAGGCAATAGGGAGTGACAAAGCCTGAGGGAACTGGGTATTTCCTAACTCCATGCACTCCCCAAAGCTGACAAAGGCATTGCTCAAATTAAGATTTCAAAGAATGCAAGTACCATCCACACACAACTCAGCTGCCAGCTGGGTTCTGTCTGTGAGGTTGCAGGCTTTGACCTTTGATCTAAATGGAGTTAAGGATAAAACCAGGTATACCTCTTACCCTCCAGTTCTCAGTTTGGAGGGTTTCTGTGGAACTCAGTATGGCAAAACTCACTGATATAAAACACATGTAAGAGTGAACCAGTTTCACAGTAAGAACAAAGCAAGGCACAAACTCTTCCCCAAATATTTTTTTGCTGCCCCACAGCTATAAGTTGACAGTTGTTAGACATGGACCAGGTTACCAGATGAGCTTGCAGAAATTTACTTCTCTGGAAATTCTTGGGGAGAGCAATGTGCTTGCTCTCCAGCCAGGGAGATTCTCTTGATTCCAAGATATTGGGATGAGTTTACTGGACTGCTTTCTTTTTCTACTAATATGAATTAAAAATAAAAAAAAGAATCCTAGGTCACCACGTTAAGCTCTTGGGGACTTCTGGGAAGTGTGACCCTGACAGCCATCTTTCTGGGATGGATTAGATGGGCGGGGGAGGAGCTTAGGAAATGAGAGTAGTTCCCAGCTGTGGATAACATTATTATTATTTTTAAAGCTTTTATTTAATGAATACAAATTTCATAGGTACAGCTTTAGGAATATAGTGGTTCTTCCCTGCACTCATCTCTCCTACTCCCACTCTCATCTTCCCTCCTACTCCCTCTCCCATCCCATTCTTCATTAGGATTCATTTTTAATTAACTTTATATACAGAAGACAAACTCTATACTAAGATTTCAGCAGTTTGTACCCACACACTCACACAACATATAAAGTACTGAGATAACATTATTATAAGGCATTCTCTTGTAAAGTTGGGGAAATAATAGTGCTACCTGGCCAAATCAGACTTGTCACAATTATTTCTTGAGTTCCTTATGAAGGTGTCTGTTTTAGACATAGAGACACAGGCTTTTGACTAAAGGCCATGGTTAGAATGTAGCACTGAATGAGTCTTCAGAGGAGATTCATAAAATAGACTGAAGAAAATATGTTTCTTGCTCCTACTAGAGGGTTGCTCCATAATTTTTAGGAAGATTTGAGTACCTCCATTTTTTTTTCTTTTGCTACCCCCTTCACCTACTCTCTTTGTATGTGCTTATGTGACATTCACCTACTCTCTTTGTATGTGCTTACATGACATAGAAAGTGTGCTGTGCTTTGTACATAAAAAATTCCGTGAATGCAGTTAAGGAAGCATTGAGTGGATTTTTCATCATTATTTCCTAAAAAATTTTGTTGGTTCCAAAGTACTTTCATACCCCCTTGGATCCTTTGATCCTCACCTGGAAGCTATCTCTCACTCTTCAGGAAACAGGCTCAGAAAAATGATGAGATCAGTACAAGTTTACCTGATTCAGAGCAGAGGAGGTGGTATTGTTACCAGAATGTGGTTCTTTAGGTACTGTATCCCATGCTCATTTCTACTCCAAAGTTGACCTGTGGTTTGGAGTTTTGTTGAATCATCTACATTTTCTCTTCCAATTCCTCTTGTGAGTCTGTGTGAGGTAGACATACCAAGTTAGGCATGCACTGTCTAAGTACAGAGACCAATATGACTGTGTGACAAGTAGAAGTTAGGACTGTTTTAGTAATTGCTTGATTGATTGGTTAATCAATCTTCAAAGAAGATTTAAGGCAGCAAATTTATTCTAATAATAGGAGATGTTGATTATGCACTAAATGCCAGGGGTTGAGGTAATCACAGCTATTTTGCTGAATTCTCGTGATATCATTGGGAAATGAAGGTAAAATCATAGGTGTGTAAAACTGAAGAATTTGTTTTCTGATTTCTCAAAATCCAACTAGTATGCCGCAGCCCATGTTTCAATTCAGGCAGTCTGTCTGCCAACCTATTGACCTTAACCACTACCCAGTGATTTCCAAGTCAGGTTAGAAGGATGTCCTAGGCAGAAACAGCCATGCCTGTAAATGCTATAAAAATGTGATCTAGCAAGTCAAGTGTGGAGTTGCAGTGACTGGAACTCTGTGACCTGCCTGTAGTCACACAGCCAGGGTGATAGGACCAGGATTTGAGTCTGTGTCTTTGTGACTCATTTTCATGAGGCCACGCTCCCTTGTCAAGACCTGTTTGGTCCCTACGTTCTTAAAAGTCTGAACTGATCAGTGCAATAGAGGCATCTAGGACATTCACCTGAGGCTATGGGGCAAAGAGATTGCCAGCAGTCACAGACAGGTAACTAGCAATTGTTGTCCCTTAGAGCACATGTCCTCTCTACAGGTGATTCTCTTGGGCAACAGGAAATTCTCTGATTAAAAACGTAGGCAATATGATGTGATAGAACACAGGCATCCCTAATCTGAAAATCCAAAATTCAAAATGCTAATAATTTGTTAAGATGAGTTCCTAAAAGTGGGATTGTGGCCCCAAAAGATATGCCTATTTTTAGTTTTAATAGACATTATAAAATTATTTTCCAAAATTTAATTCAATACTTATCATTAGAATAATATTCAGGTAATTCTACTTTTCCATTTCTTGTCTTAGCTATATTCTGTTAATTTTTTTTACCATTTTTGCCATTATGAAAATTCACATATTTTTATTTGCATTTATTCATGTATTTTGATTGCCATTTAATTTGGAAATTTTTCAATTACTTTTTGACCAATTTTTAAATATTTATTCGTTTCAGAGGCAGAGAGAGAAATAGAGCTCCAATTGTACTGATTGCCTCCCCAAAACCCTGTAATGGCCGTAGTTGGGCCTAGCTGAAGCCAGGAGCTGGGAACCTAATCCAGGTCTCCCACCTGGGTGGCAGAAACCCAATAACCACTTCCTCTATTGTCTATATTAGCAGGAAGCTGGTGTCAGAAGCTGGAGCCAGATGTGAAACCCAAGTACTTCCATATGAGACCTAGGTATCTTAACCTGCATCCTAACCACCAAGCCAGATGCCCACTACTGTTTTTTATTTTTATTTTTTTGTTTTATGAAATGATTTTTGGGGCCTTTTGCTTAATTTCCAATTAGGTTAGTTGTCTGTTTCTCATTCCCTTATAAAATCTTTAGGGAGAACCTGCGCTGTGGGTTGGCAGGTAAAGCTGCCGCCTGCAATGCCGGCATCCCATGTGGGAGCTGGTTCAAGCCCCAGCTGCTCCACTTCAGATCAGCTCTGTGCTATGGCCTGGGAAAGCACTACAAGATGGCCCAAGTCCTTGGGCCCCTGCACCCACGTGGAAGACCTGGAAGAAGCTCCTGGCTTCAGATCGGCCCAGCTCCGACTGTTGGCCATTTGGGTAGTGAACAGTGGATGGAAGACCTGTCTCTCTCTTTCTGCCTCTGCCTCTCTGTGACTCTGCCTTTTAAACAAATTTTAAAAAATAAATCTTTAAGATTTCTTTATGATATTACACTATTATCTGACTTTTGTCAAAAAATTGCTTCTATCCTAGCATTCATTTTCTTCTAGTCATAACTTTCCTTCAAGCTTTTAAAAGCACATGTTGTAATATATACTTTTTGTTTGTTTTTAAAACAGAAAGTTGTACGAGGGATTGATTTAAACCGGATTCGAGGACTTGGATTTGATGCTACGTGTTCTCTGGTTGTTTTGGATAAGCAGTTTCGTCCTTTACCAGTAAACCACGAAGGTAGGACCAGTCCCCTTCTTTTCCTGGTGGTGGGAGACTGGCTGGGGCAGACCTGGCTTTTAGTGTAGAGGGCCCAGGTGGAACACAAGGTCAGACATCTCTTGTATCTGAGGGTGAGAATCAAGTGGATTAGGAAGGTCAGAAATCATGTTCCAGTGGTTAAAGGCTTCAAGAGCAATTGGTATGAATGGGGTGGCATTGGGGGCTAGGTCACAAGAGCCATGGAAAAGAGCTAATGAGGGGAGGACCTGGGGTCACTGTCTTGGAATGACTAGCCCTGAACGATTAAGTGCTTTGGGTGTTTTCTGGGAATGGAGTGCCAGTGCTTGAAGCAGCTTTATTTATTTGAGAAGCGCATATCCCATATTCATTTGAGTGGGCGAGCCAACTCTATTTAAAATAGAACAAGGCAGACAGGACCTTGTGCCACACAGAAACTGGAAACAGACGGCCTTTTTGTTTTCATCAGCCAGGCCAGGGACATTCCCATTTAATACTGTTGTTCTAGAGGACACTTGGGACCACAGTAATGAGCTATTTCAAATATAAAAGAGTGCTTCAGCCTAATCATCAGAGACTTTTTTTTTTAAAGCAGGTGAGCTGCATGCAGAATTTTAGCCAGTAGCACTAGCACTGGGTTGCAAACCCATGAGTCTACACTAGGCAGGCAGGGAACGTAAGTTAGTGACGTGGACCAAGTTTGAGACAAGCAAGAGCTTACATGTGTGGAGATAAGCTTAGATTGATATTTAACTTTATATCACGAGTATAAGACATTAGGGAATGGTGGAGATTATGATGCACTAGAAATTGCATGCTGCATCTAAATAGGGGTGGCTTTATTTGTTTTAAGTCAGCTGTTGCCAGGGTAGCCGTTACAAACATGTTTGGGGCTAGATTCTGTGTAAACACCCTTAGTTACGTACACTGCAGTAAGTAACAGTGCCTGTCTTCCTGTCGGCTGTGGTATTGTAGGGCACACAGGGATACAGGAGCCTTAGAGTCAGGGACTAGATCTCAGTTCCACTATTGCTTGGTTGTGACACCTTAGGTGAGTCACTTAGTCTCTGCATGTCTCAGTTTTTTCTCCTGAAACAACCAGAATAATGAACAGTAGCTTTGTTGTGAAAAGTGAGAGAGGATACCTAAACGCTCAGGTGAAAAAGTCTGTATTAGATTAAAGATCTTTATGATTAGGGGATGTGTTCTACACACTTCTAGTACATACAGTAGTGATTATTGTAACTAATGTGCTGGAAACCTATGCACATGGATGAATGGTTAGGGCACAGTGGTATGGATGCACTTGCACACTCACACACACCATTTCCCCCTTATTGCCACATTTATCAGCACCTACTGTGTGCCAATCCCTGTCACACTAGGTACGAGTGCTTTAAAGATGAGTCTGAATGGTCCTTGCCCTGGGCTCAGTTTGCATTGTTCTGGCCCAGGATGGTCAGGCAGACCCAGGATGGTCAGGCAGAGAACTAAGTGCCTCTTAGACAAGCAAAGTATAGCCCAGCAGCAGCAAGCAGTCTCTAATTACAAGGTGTGGCCGGCCATGAACCTGACTACTGGGGGAGCATATCAGTGCTTCCTTTATTGGATTTATTTAAGTAACGGTTAGATGATTGTTTCCTAGGGATGCTGTAGGAAGAAGACTCATTTTGGGCATAGCTTTTGATGTTCAGAATGAAGTTTCAAGGACTTTACACTGTTTGGTCTACTAATGTACATATTATTGGTTTGTTTTAACACTGGCTGTGAATTGGTATTAACTAGAGATTTAAAAAAAAAAAAAAAAACTATCCTTCATTCTTATCTTTATTCTTATCCCCAAGAGTTGTATTCAGTCGTTTTGGAATGGGGCTACAGCACTGACATTTTAAGTAAGTTTCATTGGTAATTCTAGTATGTGGAGAGTCACTGGGCACAGATGAGTAGACAGTGAAAATATTAGGAACTGAACACTTCAAGTGGAAGAAGAGAGTTCCTGTTCAACCTGCTTGTGTGCATACCCTCTCTGAATGCCGTCTTTTTCCTCATTGTAGATAGAATTGCCTCCTGTTAACAGGCACTCTTACAAAGGTAGTTAAGTTGCAACCCTAATTAGAAGTGTTGAAATAACTTCATTCCAACTAAAAGGCTGAAATGTACCCATTCATCAGCTGCATCAAGCCACAGGTGTCCTTCACCACTTTCTTGCCTTTCAACAGATTATATTAATGCTAGATTCTTTTTTATTGGAATGATTTATCCTGTGTTAGAACATGAAGCTAGAATTTTAAAGGTGATTTAAAGGTTCTCTAAAGATTGGTTCTCCTTGCATGGTATGGCAGTGATCTAGTCATGCTTGGTTCGGAGGAGTAGCTGTGAGCAGGAAGAAGATTGCTGGTAACTTCAGTTGCCATTAATAGCAAACCCACAAGACTGGCAAAAGTGTTATCATCTTTAGAAGTTGACCAAAAAAATTAGCTAAAGCTAATAAATCAAATGCAATAGTGTAGGAGCACTAAGCATCACTCTATCATAAAATAGCATTTTTGTTAGCCTTCTCCTGTTTGATCCTTCTTTCTTTGAAAACCGGAGCAGCCCCTGGTTGGACAGCAGTGTAGTTCTGTGGCCATCCTGGCACCTGTCCCTGTTGTGTCATCACAGCACAAGTATGCTGGGGAGGACGATCATGGGGGGCTGGGGAGTTAGGACTTCTGCTGCCATGCGCAGCAATCTAAGAAGTCAAGGTTTTTGCTGATTCCTAGTAATTTTTCCCCTCAACTATGGCAGGAACACATCCTGTGAGGTGTTCAAAATATTAATTAAGTGAATTCATAGATGAATAAACTGTCCTTAGCTGACTGTATAACTCAAATCCTGCTTGACAAAATTTCCTCCAATTGTCTTAAAATATGACATCTTCCTGGTTCCCTCAGCTGCCACTGGAACATCTTTTCTCACTTTTCTTTCACCTGGCTAACCTGTGGCCATTCATTTTCAGAATTAAGTTAAAGCTTTCTGGCCTTTTGGAATCTCTCTATGCATCCTCAGGTGTAGCTTAGAGCCTTCTCTCTGCTCCTCTCTGTGTTGCCATAGCTGGCGCTCCTGTTCTGGTGGATATCAAACTGTCTATAGACAGTCTATGGTCTACTGTTTCATTCAAACACGTGCTCCTAAGGTGACCCTCCACTGCACATCCTGGCACCTGACGCTGGGCCTGCTATGTAGAGCACACCCACGTAAAGGTGACATGAACTTTCCCTTGGGTCATATACTTGTGTCTTTCTATAAGAACTGGAAAAGGATTAATTCTCAATCTCTAATCAAATAAAATGATTATTTTATTTTCATTTTAGGTACTTTAAAAAGTTCATGGAGGGGCCAGCGCTGTGGCTCACTTGGTTAATCCTCCGCCTGTGGCGCTGGCATCCCATATGGGCACCGGGTTCTAGTCCCAGCTGCTCCTCTTCCAGTCCAGCTCTCTGCTGTGGCCCGGGAGGGCAGTGGAGGGTGGCCCAGGTGCTTGGGTCCCTGCACCTGCATGGGGGACCAGGAGGAGGCACCTGGCTCATGGCTTCGGATCGGCATAGTACCGGCCGTGGCGGCCATTTGGAGAGTGAACCAACGGAAGGAAAACCTTTCTCTCTGTCTCTCTCTCCCTCTGTCTATAACTCTACCTGTTAAATAAATAAATACATAAATGTTCATGGAAAGAGGAATTCCAGCTCGAGTTGATTTTGATATGAACAGTTTTGAGGTCCAGGCGAGGGAGTTAGTGAAGTGATTCTGTACAATTCTCCTTCTATGGTTCTGACTTCATCCTGTGAGCTTTTGTATGCGGAGCCTGTAAGAGCTGCTTTTCCTCTCTTCACTATCGTTGGAAGATCAGCAGCGAGTGTTTTTGTCTTGAAGCAGCCATAGATATGTTCTGTAAAATAGTCATGAAACTGTTCTGACTTTGCCCCCCTCAACACACTCACACAGGTGTGCAGGTGTGCACGTACCACATTCTGGTTCGTCTGTGGTTCCGCAAAAGGGCCTGGATGTTAGTGGTTTTCAGAGCTCACCAGGTGCATCCAGTGGGTGACTTGGGCTGAGAACCAGGGCTGCGAGCGATTCTTGTACACAGTGGATCCTCTCTGCTGTTTGCACGAACGTTCTCCGAGATTCCTGTGGAGGCTCTCACGTACTCTGTTTCCTAAGTCTTACTGTTTTGTGTGGAGCTGTACTGAGATCTGAAATCTTCCCAGTCAGTGGCCTGATGTAGGTATTGTCCTAGGATGACTTTTTTCTTTTAAAAAAATCCTTTCCAAAGATCTGAAGAGCACAGAAAATAACATACTCCTCTGAATCCACTACTGAGGATACAAAGAAGAAATTTGCCGTATTTGCAAATTTTTAAAAGACGACTTCTGTTGGTATCTGTGCCCCATCCCTTCCCCTCTGCCTCACAGGCAGCATTTCTGCTGCAGTCGCTACGCATAAGCACACATTCCTCTTGTGTTTTTACCCCATGTGTCTATACCCACAACAACAAACAAAATATAGTGTGTTTTAAAATATCTCCACTGGCATCATTATTCATGTTGACAGGTCCAACTCTGGTTTATTCATTTTACCAATCTATTTGTTCTTGACACAGCTCTGCTTCCCAGGCACACTTCCTGCATTTCCCAGCTGTGAGACACTGGGCACAGCTTCGACCTTGGAGTCTCAGTTTGTCATTGCCAAAGCAGGATAATACCTGGAACAGAAGGTTGTCTTGAGGACTCAGTGAAATGATGTGTGTTAAACATCTCGCACAGGACTTGGGAGGCACACAAACATACATTATAAATGTTTGCTACCAGCAAGATAGGTAGCTGCTGCAGTTAACTTGCCGTTAAATAAAATAAAGCGTGACAATGCCCAGTTCACTAAACTGGTTGGTTTCCTTTTGTGTTTCCTCTAATAATCTCTTGGGCATCTTCCTTGCTCTTTTCTGCATCTTGCCAGTGGAGAGATCGGAGGCTGTGAGAGGAATCCTGGTTTGCCCATCAGTATGTGACGAATTCCCGGAAGCTAGGAAGACAGGACGGGTGGGTAGTCAGTTACCCTCTGAGCTATAGGATGGGAGAGGTAGGCTCTCGGAGGTGCTGCTCCTTTTCCAGCTAGTTTTAAGTTCTGCCTTTTATGATTTACTCCTCCTGAGGGCATCCTATCTGATAGGCACTTTCCATAACCTTTGTGCTCACTATCTTGTTTAATGAGTGAAAGATCTCAGGTAATCCTTATATGCAATTAGGTATTATTACCCCCACCTTGGAGATGAAGATAATGAGGCTAAGGAAAATTTCAGGACTTTCTAAATATATCTTTTCTTTAAAGATTTATTTATTTATTATTTGAAAGGCAGAGTTACAGAGAGGCAGAAAGAGGTCTTGCATCTGCTGGTTCACTTCCCAAATGGCCACAACAGCTGGAGCTGGGCCGATCTGAAGCTAGGAGCCAGGAGTTTCCTCTGGGTCTTCCCAGGTGGGTGCAGGGGCCCAAGGACTTGGGTCATCCTGTACTGCTTTCCCAGGCCATAGCAGAGAGCTGGATTGGAAATGGAGCAGCTGGGACGAGAACTGGCACCTGCATGGGATGCTGGAAGTGCAGGTGGCGGCTTTACCCACTATGCCACAGCACTGGCCCCTAAATATGTCTTCATCCTTAACTTAAAGACTCAGTGTTTCCCATAAGGTTTGATTAACTCCAAAGCTTGCATGATTCCCACTCCAACAAATAAACCAACAGAATGAAAAAGAAACACCTCAGTGAACTAATTTTAATTAAACTGACTAGACAAAGTGGACATATGAGCAGATAAACAGCATTGCATAGTTATTAGTAGATTATGCCATCAAAATATTTGTTTAAAGAAGACAGATCTTGAGACAAAGTGTTGTTTTAGTCTATTTCATAGGCTGTTTTCCTGAATGTATGTCCAGAGAAGTTATTGTACAACTGAGGAAATCTAGGGAGCAAGAAGAGAGAATGAATGAATGACAGTACTCATATGATTAATAGGTCAATTTTGACTGGTTTTAGTGTCAGTTTTTAACCCTGAGGTTATGGTCAAAGAATACATTGCTGGGATGGAAATGCAAGGTTTAGGTACAGAGTACTCATTAGCCTTGCTCGTGTCCTTTCACTTTGTTCATTGTTGGTATATGAAATTATAGAAGTTGGCAGCATTTTGCCCTTGGGAATCCATAATGACCCCCCTTGTGTTAGAAGGAAAAGAATGCGTGTTTATCCCCATCTTACTGTGGTTTCTGCCAGGGGATCCCCATCGAAACATCATCATGTGGCTGGACCATCGAGCAGTCAGCCAGGTCCAGAGGATCAACGAGACCAAGCACAGGGTCCTCCAGTATGTCGGGGGAGTGATGTCTGTGGAAATGCAGGCCCCAAAGCTTCTGTGGCTAAAAGAGGTAAGTCCTGGTACTATGGGTCTGCAAGGACCAGGCACCCTGCTGACTTCTGTGATGTTTGACTTTTCCCAGCAACTCTTTGAGAAAGGTTGATCGCATTTTATTGAGTAGATTGTAAATTAAGGCACTTTGTTCTTTTGCTTGTTTATTAGTTATTTTCATTTTGTTTGAAACACAGAGAGACAAAGAGATCTTCCATCTCCTGATTCATTCTCCAGATTACCACACCAACCAGGGCTGGGCCAGGCTGAAGCCAGGAGCTTGGCACTCCATCTGAATCTCTCCCCTGAGGATGGCAGGAACCCAAGTACTTGAGGCATCATTTGCTGCTTCCCAAAGTGTGCATTAGTAGGAAGCTGGAATCAAAAGCATAGTTAGTTCTCAAACCAGGCATCATCTGATATGGGATACTGGGGACCCATGCAACAACTTAACTCCTTAGCCAAATGCCCACCCTACTTTGTTTTTACATGCTTAACTCCTCTGGGGCCCTGTGATAAGCAGAGTGGTACTTCAAAAACTTTGTGGAGGGGCAGATACTTGATGCAGTGGTTGGGAATGTCTGCATGCCATATCAGAGTGCCTAGGTTAGAATTCCAGCCATGCTTTGAGTCCTGCTTCCTACTGATGAGAATCTTGGGAGGCCGTGGTAATGGCTCAAATACTTGGGTACCTGCCAACCCACGTGGAAGACGTGGATTGAGGGATTGAGTTCTGGGCTCCTGGTTTTGGCCTGGCCAAGCCACAGCTTTTGCAGGTATTTGGGGGAATGAACCAGTGGATGGAAGAACTCTCTGTCACTCTGCCTTTCAAATAAATATAAATAAGTATTTTTAAAAGTTTGTGGAGGCCGGTGCCGCAGCTCAATAGGCTAATCTCCGCCTGCGGTGCTGGCACACCAGGTTCTAGTCCCGGTTTGGGCACCGGATTCCATCCCGGTTGCTCCTCTTCCAGTCCAGCTCTCTGCTGTGGCCCGGGAGTGCAGTGGAGGATGGCCCAAGTCCTTGGGCCATGCACCTGCATGGGAGACCAGGAGAAGCACCTGGCTTCTGGCTTCGGATCTGTATGGTGTGCTGGCCGCAGCACACCGGCCGCAGCGGCCATTGTGGGCTGAACCAACGGTAAAGGAAGACCTTTCTCTCTGTCTCTCTCTCTCACTGTCCACTCTGCCTGTCAAAAAAAAAAAAAAAAGGAAAAAAAGTTTCTGGAAAAATTAAATTAAAATATAACCTCATTTTGATAAAATTTTTTGAAATCCATGCATGTTTTTCGTAATATGCATTTCCCATGAACATTTTAAAATTATTTACTTTTTGAAAGGTAGAGTTACAGAGAGAGGGAGACACAGAAGGAAAAGTGTCTTCCCTCCATTGGTTCACTCCCAAATGACCGCAACAGCCATGGCTCTGCCAGGTCGAAGTCACGAAACAGGCGCTCCATCCACGTCTCTCAAGTTGGTGGCAGGGGCTCAAACACCCGGGCCATCTTCTGCTGCCACATGTATTAACAGGGAGCTGGATCAGAAGTGGAGCAGCCAAAACTCTAAGCGGCACTCAAATGGGATGCCAGTATCATAGGCAGCAGCTTAACTTGCTACATCACCACGTTGGTACATCCTATGAACACTTTGAAGTATCCTCATATTTTATGGTGTCTTTGAATGCTGACAACTCTATGAAGTACATATTTTGGAGGGGGGGGTCTTTGTTTTACATACAAAAGAGGTAAAGCACATAGAGATCAGTTGGCCCAAAGTGAAACATTAAGTACATGACACGGTCAGGATTTGAACCTAAGACTGCCTGACTCCAAAAGTAGTTCTTTTAATGTCCAGTTCTATGCTCAAGTACAGGGAGGTTAATTACTATTCCAATTAGAAAGTGGCAGAGCCAGGATTTAAATCCAGATCTCCTGACAAAGGCTTTCTTTTCCTCTATGCTTTCAGAGCCCCAAATTATTAATCTTTGACCTTGTTGACATTTGAGGGTATTCCTTTCTCTCTTGCACTTGAGTTTCCAAGTCCTTGAGTGATAGGGTGATCGCTGGTTAAAGCACTTGCAGGTGGTTTCTATTTCCATATGTTAGGACTCCTTTATGAAGTGTGGAGAATGGTGATGTCAGCTTAATGGTTCCCATTAGAGATGGATGTGTGAGAAAGTTCAAGTCCTTTGGGAGCTCCAGGGACTTGAAAATCCCTAGGTGGTCTGGGGAATAGAGAGTCTATCTGGTGAGTAAGACCTACTGTGATTCATTGACTGGCTCTAAGATTTCAGGTGAGCTGAGTCTTTCATTATTTTCAGCTGAATGGAGAGCTGAGGGATGCTGGGAAGGAGCCCCAGCATTGCCACCATGAGGCAGAAAGGGAGTAAGAGGGAAGGGCTGTCGCCATCAAAGTGGATTTGGCTTGCTATCTAGTTTTTACTTGTATATTGAGTTGTATCATAAGTTTTTTTTTTTAAATAACAGATTTATTTATTTGAAAGTCAGAGTTAGAGAGAGAGAGAGAGAGAGAGATTGAGAGAGATTGAGAGAGAGATTTTCCATCTGTTGGTTCACTTCCCAAGTGACTACTTTAATCAGGGTGGAAGCAGGCCAAAACCAGGAGCCAGGAGCTTCTTCCAGGTCTCTGACATGGATAGTAGGGACCCAAGCACTTGGGCCATCTTCAACTGGTTTTTCCAGGCCATTAGCAAGGAGAAGGATTGGAACTGGAGCAGCTGGGACACAAATCTGGGCCCATATAGGATGCTGGTGTTGCAAGCAGCAGTGGCTTTACCACCCACCCTGTACCACAATGCTAGCTCCATGTAGAGCAAGTTTAAATTTGCAGAAAGGCTTTCATGGTTGCTAAGAGTGAAAACAAACTTGCTTAGGAGGCAGAGATTTCCAGACTCTAATACTGACTCTGCTATCAACAGTTGTGTGCTTTGGACAAAGCACTTCTCATCCTAGCCCTCACTTTTTCCATCTTTACAGTGAGAATTTGATTAGATTAGTTTGAAAACCTGATCCTAATATGGGCTGAAACACACACTCTCTCTGTGTTTTATTGACATGGATTGATTTGGTCATAACAGGATCTGACTGGTAGATAGCATGGTTAACAGGTTGAGAGATTGTAGACTTTCCCAAATATGAGATACAGCTAGGTTTTCTTTTTTTTTTTTAAATGATTTATTTATTTATTTGAAAGAGTTACACAGAGAGAGAAGGAGAGGAAGAGAGACAGAGAGAGAAGCCTTTCGTCTACGGCCATACCACCCTGAACGCGCCTGATCTCGTCTGATCTCGGAAGCTAAGCAGGGTCGGGCCTGGTTAGTACTTGGATGGGAGAGAGAGAAGCCTTTCATCCGCTGGTTTACTCCCCCATTGGCCACAATGGCTGGAACTGAGCCAATCTGATGCCAGGAGCCAGGAGCTTCTTCTGTGTCTCCCTCATGGGTGCAACTTGGGCCATCTTCTACTGCTTTCCCAGGCCATAGCAGAGAGCTGGATTGGAAGTGGAGCAGCCAGGTCTCAAACTAGTGCCCATATGGGATGCCAACACTGCAGGCGGCAGCTTTACTTGCTACACCACAGTGTTGGCCCCCGTAGAGCCAGGCTTTCAACCCATATCTGCTAGGATACAAATCCCAGCTCCTTCCATCCTGTCATGTGGTACTAAAATTCTTCATTGAAGCAAGCCACTTTGGGAAGAGCTGGGACAGGCATAGTGGTGTTCTTAATGTGGCTTAAACTAGTTGTGGGAGAAGGATTGGACTGAAGGAAGACTTACACTGATTTAGCAAGGAGGATTGGACAGGTGGTGGCTGGTTCATCATGGCCTTATTGAATACCTGCTGCATGGCCAGCTTGGGCCATATGTCCCAGGAATTCTACAAGTAGGGCCGGTATGAACCTCTCAAGATGCTTGACATCATACGGTTCAGATCAAACTGCACCATAGCCTACAGAAAAATAAGTTCTAGATTACTTGTGACCTTCAAAGATTTTCTTCTTTTAATTGTTTTAAGAAATCAGTTTCCTTTCAGAATTTTCTGAATAAGGTTCTACACTTTGCCTTACTGTGTATTCAACTCCCTGATGGTTGATCACAAATACGCATTGTTTTTATTCTCTTGGTAAGCATACAAGGGAATTCTTTCTAATAATCCCTTTGGATGTAACATAATTGCAAATTCAAAATGAAAGATATTCCTAAAATCAGTTATACATCATCTTCTTAAAGCCTGACTGGGATGGCTTATGGTTCTTCTCAAACTTTAGTGTGTGAATGAGCCACCTGGAAATCTGCAGATTCTGATTCAGTAGCCCTGGGTTAGGGTCTGCAAACCTGAGGATGTTTGTGTCTAACAATTTGTAGACTTATGAAATCGCTTTTAATTCCAAGTACTCTCCCCCTAGTGCCATGAAATTCATGCAATTCTGGCAAATCAGGAACAGTACTTTGGTTTATTTTTAAAGACTTATTTGAAAGTCAGAGTTACACAGAGATAGAAGCAGAGGCAAAGAGAGAGAGAGAGAGAGAGAGAGGTCTTCCATCTGCTGGTTCACTCAATTGGCCACAATGGCTGGAGCTGTGCCAATCCGAAGGCAGGAGCCAGGAGCTTCCTCTGGGTCTCCCACGTGAGTGCAGACTTGGACCATCTGCTGCTGCTTTCCCAGGCCATAGCAGAGAGCTGGATCGGAAGTGGAGCAGCCAGGTCTCGAACCAGTGCACATATGGGATGCCAACATTGCAGGCAGTGGCTTAACCCACTATGCCACAGCACCAGACCCAGTACTTTGTTTTTAACGTGACACAGGCAAATTAGATAACTTTGGTAGAGTGTTCAAGCAGACATTTAAATGAAGATATGAGTCTGTGTCTGAAATCCATTGAGTTGATACTTTTCTACTCTTTATTCATTCCTCGGTTAAGAATTTACCAAATCTTAACCAAGCTCCTGCTGTGAATCAGCAAATGTGGTGGGCACCAGGGATATGACGACAAAAAGGAC